TTTTTGTAAATCACTCAGCTTATCTGAAAGGAGGCGATCGATACGCAGCATTACAGTAAATAGATAAACTAGCGCTGCTGTAAGGGTTAGCGTCTGAGCCAACCATTATAGCGTGCAGATGAGGGGGAACGATTAGCACGTACTTGCTTGCGCCGTGCCCTTCACAGACACCTGGTGCCATAGCAAAAGTCACTGCTGACTTGAATTCATGGAGACCGATTGTCTTCCAGCGAATTGTCTAAGCTTGCAATTTTACTGGAAATTTAATCAATTATTTGCAAAACTGCAGTAGTCTGGTGTTTAAGAGCATTTTTGCGGTTCTTTGTTCATGAAATTTCCCAGAACTTGCTAACAACGATGTGGATGCCACCTGGAGCTCCACTCACATCTTTGAGAAGCTGGTGGAAACATGTAGGAATAATCTGACCGCTTAAAGGTTATCACAGGTTCAGCACCATATGGCCTTAGGACACACAGACAGTGATAAGGGTAAAGATAGGCTGATTAAAGAAGGAGAAACATAATTTAGGACACCAAAAGAAAGTAGCAAAAAAAAAACCTGGTGTGTGCTACCATTGATCTGACCATATTTGGTATGTAGGACGTTAATACTGTATATCAATTTGAGAGATTACTTATTACTAAAATTACTATATAAAAAACCTTACTTTCCTCAAAAAGTACAGTATGTATATATATATACAGTGGGTACGGAAAGTATTCAGACCCCCTTAAATTTTTCACTCTTTGTTATATTGCAGCCATTTGCTAAAATCATTTAAGTTCATTTTTTTTCCTCATTAATGTACACACAGCACCCCATATTGACAGCAAAACACAGAATTGTTGACATTTTTGCAGATTTATTAAAAAAGAAAAACTGAAATATCACATGGTCCTAAGTATTCAGACCCTTTGCTCAGTATTTAGTAGAAGCTTAAGGGGGTCTGAATACTTTCCGTACCCACTGTATATGGAAAATACTAAGCAGCACAACTATTTTCTTTTTGTATTTTAAATCTAAATATAATAATAATATTTTCATCTACATACATTGCTTGACATTGTTGTTTATTGCTTATATGTTATATTGAGGCATATTAAAGAAAATATCTAATACATATTAAATATGTTCATATAGTGAAAAACTTAAAAAATAGCATTGCTTAATTTAAAACACTGATACAATTATATTAAGCTAAAACATACATATCAAGATATAACACTGAGACAGGTTAAAATAATATCTATATTCTGTTTAGATTTCATTTATATCTAACAAATTACTTACTTAATATTGCTTAATAGTAATATTAGTATTAAAAGTGTCCATTTATATACATATATACATGTTCAAAGTGTGTGTGGGGGGGTAATAAGCAGCAGAACTATTTTCTTTGTTTATTTTGAATATCTAAATACATTATTATTATTTCTTCTTCTTCTATCTAAATATAATATTCCTAAGCATTGCTCAATATAATATTGCTAATATTTGGACATATTAAAGAAAATACTAAAGGGGTCATGAACTGCATTTTTTATTATTTTGTACTGTCCACTTATAATGTTATCAAGATTTTTACGATGATCAAAAAACATCATAATTTAGAAGTAATAGGCTGTTTTCTGTCCTGTTTGACCCCCTCTCATCAGAACGCTCTGTGAATTGAATATTCGTGGCAGATTGTAGACTCAGAAGTAAACGCCCACTGCTATGATTGGCTAACAGTTGTTTATGTTTGACAGCTACATCCTTCATAGATGGATGCTGCTGTGATTTAGGTTAAACATGCACAAATACTCAGTAATAACAAAGCAATAGTGACCACATTATAAAAACAGTTACTCACACTCGTGTGGTGCGGCATTACTGTCGGATCCAATATAGTCGGCACAGAACCATCGTTTCGTTTCAGTCTTTCTGAAAATCCTGCATCGAAGTGTGCCTTGTTTGTAAATGAATCCGCAGTAAAATTAAGTGAAGAAAAAAGACCAAGTTCTGACTGACGCGGTCTGGATTTTCATCCACTCTTTCCTAATGTTGGGATCAGAAGGAAGGCGATACAAAGACGCAACAAAAACACGTTTTTCCACAACTTGGCACTGAACAGCATCTTGTTGTCTTCGGAGCATCTTTATCGTTTGATTTCTTTGTAGACCTGCATTTGCCTCTCTCGTTATTTACAGTATTACATCATAAAGTGGTTTTGAGTTCTGAAACTTGCAGGATGTTTTTATAGTACAATGGACCTCTTATATGTCAAAAGATCAAGGGAATTTTGGTTTCTCAGTTCATAACCACTTTAAATACTCCTTGTGTTTACTTGGTGAAAAACTGCAGGAAAAATCTATCGATTACTTTAATGTTTGGTTAAAAAAGGGGGGGGGGGGAAGAGGCAATTGAAAAATATGCATTAAGCAATAATTACATAAAGCAAATGCATAAATATCAAGATGATATTTAGTAACATATCGAGACAGATTCAAATTATATCCATGTTGCCCAGCCCTACTGGTGTACAAATTTTAATTGGAAAATTATTTTGTATATAAAAGCATTAGCTTGCACTGACACAGCATGAGACATTAGAGAGTCAAACACTTATTCACTGATCATTTGGATTTAAGTATAACCACTGTACTTAAGAGACTTTTCAACAAGTCAAGACAGGGCTGAACCTCTGTCATGAAAGTGAGGCTACTCTTTTATTCTCCGAGAAGGACCACTTCAGCGTTTGATTGGACAGGACGTGGGAGAATGACAGAAATGCCTCGGAGAGCTTTACCTCCTCCTGAGCGAGTCAAGTGGATCTTTCAAAACAAGAGAGGAGGATAGCGGTAGATGTGTTTGCACAGCCTGACCCAACATGACAGACACACACACACACACAGTTTAAAGTAACAGTTCACAAAAAATAAATAAAACTGTCATTATTTACTCACCCTCATGTTTTTCCAAACCCATATTAAGTTTCTTTCTTCCATGGAACACAAAAGACGACATTTTTAAAACCATGTTGCTCAGTCTTTTCCATGGGAACTGGAGCTTTCAAACATCAAAAAGGATGCAAAAGAATCATAAAAGTAGTCCATATGCTTTCTATTCGAAGTATTTTGAAATATGATAACTTTACGTGAGGAACAGACCAAAATGTAAATCCTAATTCACTAATAATTTCCCCCCTCCAGCGAGTCAGTCAGCTGAATTTGAGAAATGGATCAGTCTGATTAGTGAACATATTATTCAGGTCTTATGAACTGGATCAACTGATTCATTCAAAAGATCTAAGAACAACTCTTTTATGAAGAGCACAAAAATGACCTAAATTTGAGTAATTATATAAATTTGTGTCTGTTCTCCATGAAAAGTTATTGTACGCCTTTAGATTACTTGGAATATAGTGTAAGAGTCATATTATATACTTGTCTGATGCTTTTGTGTTATTTACTTATTTTTTTAAGCATTAAAGCTCCAGTCCCCATTCAATATAAATGTGTTTAACAGAGCAACTTGTTTGTTATTAAAGATTTCTCCTTTTGAGTTCCATTGAAGAAAGACATTTGGGGTTGTAATGACATTAGCATGTAAATAATGACTGAATTTTAATTTTCATTCTTTGGGTGTATTAATCCTATAGTCGAATGCAATGTGGTTTCAACCTCTTCAAAAACTGAAGTTCATAAAAATTCATTATAATATTAAAGCCCACTTCAAATTTTCTGGAATTAATGACTGAACGACAAGGAGGCACAGGGAACGAGAGTGAGAGTATGAGAGAGAAAAATCAATAAACACTAGATGGCCTGTAAAAGCATTATAAATATTAGTAGCATTTCTCCATTAAGGGAGATTTGGAAAACAGCAAATGCTAATGAGGAAGGCAAAGAGGCTATTGAAGTCCATTAGGAGCTCGCTCTAGTGAAAATAGCCGCTCTCTGAGGTTATCTACTGGCCAACGCCACTAGTTCCAGACCCACCATTCAAACCCCATTTCCAAGTGACGGATAGGACAAATGTGCTTTCTGTGTACCAGCGAGGGGCCAAGGAGAGAGTGCAAAATGGATGATTCAAAAGCAATGCTTTTTATTTTCCAAACAAGGAACATTCTTATTCATTATAAATTTATTGTGATGCGGAGCGCTGGAAAGAAGGGAAATGACTTCACAGCTGAGCCGGAGTCACTTTTGGAAGATTGGGATTGGAAGGAGGCCACAAATTATGATCAGAAAAAGGACAGTTTGGAAGCAAGAAAAAAAAAATTGGTCAGGTCATGAAAGAATTTAACAAAAACTATTTAACAAGTCAGAGCTGTGGTCGAGCGGTTTCCTGATCCCAATCCTGCCAATTTCATCATCAGTTCCTGTACTTTTTCTGACTATCACTATTACTGAAAGTGATAAAAAGGATAAATACAGGATTTCTAAAGAAAAGACTGAGTATATTTGATTTAAGAAGGGACGCAACAACTATTTTAACATATGCCATATTAAATTATTCAAAATTAACTGCATATACATTATATCAATGTTTGCTGAGAAAAGCCAGAATATATGAAGATAATTTAAAACATTATATTACAGTGGCAGAAACAAAAGGCATCCAATGGACAATACAAAAAGTTGTGGACAGACTTTTTTGGCCATTGCATTGTGTTGTGTGATTTATAAGACGCCATATCATTATAAAAACAGTGAAATTGTTTAAAAACTGTGTTTAACTATCAATGTTATTTCTTTAATTAATTTGTTTTTAATGCCAGCAAGGCTAATGGCGAGAACAAAGTGAATAAGAAAAGTCATGCAATTAACAAAAAGCTGTATTACACATTTAAGTGTATAAAATGAATAAAAGACAAGAATTCTGAATTCTTCTTTCAGGTGATATTTTTTTCCAATGCATTACCTAAATGACACCTTGAAATTACAACAACAATCTTCTTATACTGTGATTTCAAACAGGTAAGCAGGTAAGCCTGTACGTTTATGTTGGTACTCACTTGTGAGGAATACGTGGGACTGCAGTGGGACTGGAGGCCGCGGTGACAACCTGTAGGATCTGTTCCAGAGCGGACAAACCCCCTCCTACCTGAAACGCTTCCTGATCTGCATTATTCTGAAAAAGAGAGCAGACTCAAGTATCACATTGTTTTGGCACTGGAGGTATCCTCTCGTTACCCGCCTCCTATTTTCTAGAGGGGAGCTGGAGTGAAATTTGAAACAAAGTGATCCCCAAAGAATTCCTACTGAATCTCAAAAGTGCACAACCCCTCCCAGCCCCCCCAGCAACCAAAAACCAACACAGGACAACAAACGCGCATATCTGCACACAAAGCAGGGGTGGTCTGGTTTGACACAGAAGAGCTTAGGGAATACACAGTCAAAATTTAGACTGGACAAGAAACATTTTACGTCACAAATGAGTCAAACGTATGCATGTGTCAATAGCAAAGACTGTTGATAAGGGAAAAAAAAGTTCTTAGAAATGTACTCTGCATTCTGATTTAGAAAAACTCTTAACAAGAGCTATTTTTTAACAAGAGTTTAAATTTGATGACTCTAAAAATGTCACGTGGTGCAACCAAGTAAAAAGTAATAACATATTCCTTGTGAGAAAACGCATTTGAATATGCACATCACTTATAAAAATGTATGTTGTTTTGAAGTAAAAACGTATATATTTTTTTTACAATTATCATGAATTTATTCATAAATCACTGCTTTTAGAGAGTTACACCGCATGACATTACACATTCTAAACAATCCTAGCCTTGTCATAAAAATGTCAAATGATCTGAAATTTAATTTGGTTACACCACATGACGTTGATTTGGCGAACAGTTTTTGCAAATATTAATAAGTTAAACACTATTATTTATTTTTCTAAGAAATAATAATAAAAGATTATGCCAAGCTACTTAAGGATTTCTTGAGATTTTTTCTTCATTATGATATCAGTATAATTGCATCCCTCCCCATAAAAATTTCATATTAAAAAAATATTCAGTAACTGTGTATGAACAGCATTTAACATTTTCAAAACATTAATAGATACAACAAAAAAATATGAGCGTCACGTCATTGACCAGCATGCGTTTGAAGTTATTTCAGGATTTTCAAATTGTCAACGTTCAAATGCAACCTTCAGTCATTGGTTATCATAGATATCAGCCGTAAAACTGTTAAGAGGGAGGTCAACCAAACTGTGTCTGAAACTCATACGGAGCGAATGAGCGTCTTTGAGTAAGAAGAAACGTAAAACAGTCATTTAACTGACATGCTTCTCGAATCAAACTGTTTACAGAGGTGACATTTTTACTCGTATCATAAAATTCTTTAAAGTTCAAAGTGGAACCCCTTTAAATGAGTCATAAGGTTTGGAGTCCAAATTCCCCAGCTCCCTTACTTCGAAAAAAGGAAGTAAGTACCTCAGAGGTTGGCGATGAGTTCGACCCCAGTGTTGCCACAAAACGACACATAAATCAACAACTCTAAATTTGAAAGTGACAGCAGTTGAGTCATTTATTTGCAGGACTGAAGAGCAAAGAAGAGAACAGAGAATGTTGCACCTACTCCATATAATGAGGTCAGATTCTCGTATGCTATGTGACAGCTCTCAAAGTCAGGCACTTCAAGATGTTTTTGTTCAGGGGATGGCGGGGGCTGCCAACAAGCCTGAACATATTGAGCAGCAAACAGAGGAAGCGCTTTGCAAAATTACATATAAGCTCCTCTCCTGTCAATCACAAGTGCCGCCAAAGACTCATTCCTGGAGATCCGGTGGCAAAGAGAAGACTGAACCTCTGCCAGGGTTAAGAGATTGGAACAAGCTTGTTGTCAAATACACCAAAGGTGGAGCACGCTTGAACAGCAGCTGGGATTAAGAAAAGCTCACTGACAGCTAGGTGAAGACGACCATGGAGCCTCGCTGCCTACAGCGTGAGGATGAACCTAGGTCACAACAGTAAACCGAGTGGGTTCACAGAGCCCTGCTAAACGCTCCAGAGGCATGAGGGTTGGCCGCTCATGGTGGCCTATTTAAGAGGCATTTGGAGGGGTTAGCTGGGGCCTGTACAATGATGGCGTGTGGAACTCAGTCCAGAGGAAGGTGTCTCACCTTGCCCTTTCTAGCTTATTGACAGATTATAAAGAAGGACACAAAGAGTTTAATGACATGCATACTTGGCAATCTAATTAATACAATCTGGAAAGTAAGGAAAAAGGCCTTGTTTGGAAAACAGCCAGAGCTGTAAAAAGTACTGAGAAACATATTTAAGTTAGTATGGGTAGTGTGTTAAGAGTCAAAGTACCAAGCCTAGTTACGTGAGTAACTATTCCAAATATAAAAAGCTAACTTTTTTTACATTTTGAAATGGACTGCTGAGATGCACATCATGATGACCTATAAAAAAGTACTTTAATAGTCTAAACAAAATCGTAAGGGGTGAAAAAAAGGACAAGTTTTGCTTCAGAACTGTACTTAACTAAAAGTACAAGTATTCAGTTTCAATAGTACTCAAATTATATTTTAAATAATTAGCATTTTATGTATAGTAATGAAGCACAATTAATCAAGTACTTTGCACCACAGGCAACAAGTGGCAATATTAGACATAAAAAAAAATATCAAACTTCAAGCTATACATGTACATGAATGTCTTTCTGATTCTTTTAGATCTATGCGAGAAACAACATGCTTGTATTTTATTAGACTGACCCTAAAGTAAACTGAAGCCCGTAGAGCAATATTAAAGTAAATCTTCTATACGACATATACTGTTGTGCACTTCTGCTCACGGTTACCCAAAATGCAACTTTAACATGCTGCCAGGGGCTTCCCATTCTCAATAGTCATCTGGCATTGATATGGCTTTTCTGCTGGTCATGTCAGACGAGCAACCCAAATGTTTATTTATTTGCAACCAGCATGCCTCTACAACAGCAGGAATAATGTGTTAACATGCCAGTTGTATCTTAACATAACTAAGGTGGCACTGTGTTCCACTCGTGCGATTTTCTGGCAACAGAACAAAACATTTCAATGCCACTACAAACGATACAAAAAAGTGAGTAAAATGTAAGAAAAAATTATGCCTACTGCTCTAAATACTCAAAGTGCTTAGTGAATATAAAAACAACTGCTTGCGAGACTGTGTATCAAAATGCTAAAGTCAGTTTAGAAGCCATATGTAACAGTTCAGCAGCAGCATTAAACAAAGCTACTTGGCATGGCGTCTCCACTCTGAATTAATTCGTAAACTTGGTCACGATACTATGCAATCACATTAATCATCGGGGAAGACTGTAATATGACAAAACATCACATGGCACGCCATAAAAATGTGTTTGGAAGTGATGTACAAAGCTGATACTAATCCTCAATTCTGCACAGAGTGCTGTTGGATTTGCCTGGTGTGCCGACCTCCTTCAACAAACACTCCACTGACACTATAATAGGATGAGAGCTTGCGTTTTTCTAATAGGGGCTCAAACAGAAGACCTGAAGACAGATCAGGTGGTTAGAGAGGAGGGAGGGTGTAGAGTAAATATAAATTATACGGCTTGAGCAATCTTATCCAATTACTAACAAGGGTGGCCGTTTTAGGCAAGGCTAATCAAAGGGCCAGGCAGCTGCGCTTCCTGCTGACTGGCCAGGACAAGGGTATGGGTGTGGGGTACACATTAAGTGGGAGGGAGGGCTGGATGTGTCTGCATGTTCACCTCCTTCAAACCAAACCATTCTAATTAGCCAACATGAAATGTCAGGGGGAGGGGAACACTCCTAAAATGCTGCATCCCCCTTCTTGCAACTGATGGAGAACAAATGGCTGGGGCATTCACTGACGAAGAGGTTCACCAAGGTTCCGTCTTAGGCCCATCCATCTTTTGGCAAGTGGTGTGCTGATGTAAACATGCCCCCTCCAGTTACAGTGACAGCTCCAAATCTCAGAATGAATAAGAGTGCTGGCATACAAATGAGATACAACTCTGTGTTTTGTTCTCAAGAAGTAGTAAAGAAATACACAAAGAAGAATAAACACAGATCCCATTTAGTGAAGAGGCCTGTGCTGACATTACGAGAAAGGAAAAGAGCTATAAACCACATCAAGAGCACTATAGACAGTAAAGCAATAAGTTCGTTTTTACAAGGTTTAATAGCACACATTTAAGTACACGCTCAAAGATCATTTGCGGGAGCAAGAAACAATTTAGGAGTAAGTGTTCAGTTTTAGGATAACAATGGGAACCAACTGTTCATTGGAAACAAGTGAGGATAATCAAATGGAACCTTGGGAATTTTGAAGAGTGAATGTCAATTACAAACGGGAACCACATTACATGCTATATAACCCAAAATCAGCAAGAAACACTGTGCTTGCCAGAATCATAAACCTTTAACTCTGGAATACACAAACTGCCAAGTTCATTCATGGAATGCTTCTTTTAACCTCTGACCGAGAACATGGAAAGCTACACAAAATTATTAGTTCAAATATCAAGTTAATTTCCAAAAATCAGCCACCCAAGGTTAATTCTTTCCACCATGGATTTGACTTTTCTAATAGCTGTCTTCATGCCCCTTCAAACATGCACCTGAGGGGAAACATGAATCCTCTACTCTCTTACAGTCACAAGCAACAGCCAAGTGGAACAAAAGAATTACTAGGCAATTAGGGTTTGAAAATTACCTTACTGACAGCACACGGTGAAGGAATGTAAAAACTATGTCCATGTTTTTTTTAAAACTCACTAGCTAATTCCTAAAGCTCGACCTGTCCCTCAGCAGCAGAGAGGCAACACCCAATCACCTCACACATCTTTATGAAGAGGCTTGTTGAAAAATGTCATGCATTTCAATGATCCTAAAACCAAGAACTATGATTTGTTCTCTTGTCAATTGGTTTTGAGGTTGAAGACAAAAAATTAAACATGCAAGATTAGAAAATATACTTGAAGAATGTGTATTTGTTGTTTTAAAGATCACAAATGTTCATAAATTAACACAATAGACCAGAGATCGGATGCACAAAATAATTGGACTAGTCTTACAAGTTAGTCGTCTAATTTTCTTCTTTAAGATTTTTTTTTTTTAAAGTTGGTTACCTAAAAACATATATTTTCTCATTTGAATCTGAAAAATAAGACTTATTACCCCTTGGCTAACTGCTAGTTGGTCTGACTAGTTCTAAAGACACAGTCATAACACAGAGGATAATTTTATGCAACTGACCCCAGTGTTTTCCAAACCTGGATCCTCGAGTACCTTCAACACTCCACATTTTGAGGTTACCTTTAACTTACACATCGATTTCTTGTCTTGGAGTTTCTTCTAATGAGTTGAATTAAGTGTGTTTGATTAGGGAGACATCTAAAAGGTGCAGTATTGGGGGGTAGTCCAGGATTAGTGTTGGGAACCACTGCTATAGACAATCTGGCATTGAGCCAAACATATGGCAAGAGGTATAAAGATTGACCACCAATTGGACTTGATCGCAGACTTCACCTCTTGCTTAATAATCTTCAAGCAACACTGACATAGTCAATCACTGATGTTGTTCTTCACTCACAACCAAGGCTTCCGCCAACATTTTCTGGATCCTTTCTCTACCCCAGGTCATCAAACATGGATTGAGGGCAAGTACAACACTGGAAGGGCCCCTTGGCGCCTCTTTCCACAGCCTTGGGCCTCTTGATCAGGTACAGCTAGCCACCAGTTGGCCACCAAGGGGAGCCAACCCCTGACAGCTGGCAAATGAAAATGTAAATACTGGCTGGCCCAGCAGGCCCAGAATGTTCCTGACAGTCCCTCAAGTGTCATAAAGGCAGTCGATCTCGGCCTGTTCTTTATTTGAAAGCAGTGACAAACACTCCCTGGCAGAATGTAAATACGTGAGCTCATTCCACTAATGTAAGAGAGCGCAGATCAGAGGAACTAGAAACCCTGAATATTCCTGAACGACAAGAAGGGAAAAAAGGCTCTTCGATCAGCCAGTTCTCCCGGAGACAAACTGAAACCTGGTTTGACACAAAATAAACCATTAGAGGGCTCAGAGGGAGAGGCGGGCAAAGGTCGGAGACTGTGCCCAAGCAAAGTCAGCATGAGGAACGAGGAGAGGGGGAGGCCACACTGCTTGAGGGGCTAGAAGGGGCGCGGAGAGTCTGGTGTTGTTCGAGGAATTAGTGGAGAAAGTGGAGACTGAATCAGATATGGGTATGAGAAAAAAAAAAATCTGTAGGTGAGTCAGTGACATGAGAGATGCTTGTTAGGTCAAATAATCTAAACGCTCTTGACATGAGGTGAGGCTGAGGGGGAAGGGGTCTACGCAGACTCCCAATGAAGGAGGAGACGAGTATTTATTTGAATTTGTCCTGCGATTACAGACGGAAATGCCTTGACAACCAGGGTTCACAGACTTGCCCAGGTTTGGTGGCGTGCAGACCTTAGCTGGACACAGCAGAAACCGGTTTGGAGGAATCCACAGCTGTGACTGACAGTCTAAATGAAGTCCAGATACTGTACTCTTAAGAGAGAGTCTTATTCCCAAAAGGCTATAAGAAAGAGCCTGAGGAGCTGACATTTCCACAAACACTTCACCGTTCCAGCAACTTACAAAAACAAAGACACCGGGAGCTCTTTAAAGCAAGTTCTCTGTGGAAATCTCCAGAATGAGTTTGTGTAGGAGGCCTTGGGGACAGTACACAAGAAATGTACTCATGTTCTTGATAGAAGCTGTCATTCAGAGACACTTCTAAGGAGTACAGAGCCTAGAGAGGGTGATGAGATGACAAGGTCTGATCTGAGAAAATCTGTTGAAGGGAATGTGAAGGATGTTCATTATATTTTCTGTGTTAAATTACTTCAGACCTACCTTGCTAGATGCAAGGTATAATAAACATGTTGTTAAAAGAATATTCTGTGTTAATTTCAACTTAATGTCTACTGACTTCACTGGTGGCATCCCAGAATGCACTTCCATGACATCTGTATTGTAAATCAAGTTCAAAACAGTCACTTAAAGGTGACATATCATGAAAATCTGACTTTTCCAAGTTTTAAGTGCTATAATCAGGTCCCCGGTGCATCTACCAACCAATGAAACTTGCAAAAGATTAACCCAGTAACTGTTTTGGTAAGCCTTTTTCTGCAAGCGTCTGAGAAAACGAGCGCGTCTGATTTCGCTCCCTTGGTGACGTGGCAAAGGATCTCATTATAATATTACCGCCCCTTAATCTGTAAATTTACACCCATGGCGCTGTTATTGTTTTCTCGCAAGCGACAACGGTGTACTAGTTCTAATGCCATGGCAAAAGTTTGAGCAAAACATTCTAACTGTTCTGTCATTGGCTGCACAGACGAGCACAGAACACTATTTACAGTCCCAGCCTCAGAGGAGACAAGAGAGCAGTGGATTTATTGATTTATTTAATGCATATTGCTGCTGCCACACAGATCTAAAATGAACATGCTTCGGATGTGTGTGCTCAGAAAACCGTATATCAGAAGTTTAAACTCATATGGTTTAAAACGCATAATTTCAGCGTGATAAACATGATAATCAGAACCAAAACAGATGTTTTTTAGCAGGTACGAGCTGTAATGGCGCAGCTCTATTCTGGAAAAGGGGGTGGGGGAGCAGCAGCTCATTTGCATTTAAAGAGACAGGCCCGAAAAACAGCGTGTTTCTGCATCTACTCAGTATTTTGAGCTGAAACGTCACAGACACATTCTGGGGACACCAGAGACTTATATTACATATTGTAAAAAGGGGCATAATATATCTCCTTTAAATGCCATCACCTAACTTCAAAACATTTAATCTTAAACAGTCTCATCACTTTGAAATATTTAATACAGTCACCCTCATTCACCAGTGGACACTGTCATGGACATTTTGGGTTTATGACTGTTCGTTACATCCCCTTCACTCCACTCTAGCAGCTTATGAACTCCTCTCCTCCCCTCCCTCAGCCCTCCTTTTTGCACATTAGCTCAGCTTTACCACCCTCTTCTGTCTTTCTTACCTTTCTCCTCTCCCTCCAGAAAGACCATTAACAACCCACATCTCCTCCCACTGGTCAATACAGGCACACCATCAATGCACCATCCACCCACCCACAAACACACACCCACCAAACCACACATCCCTTCATTTGATGAATGTATTACAGAACGGCACCAAAAGAAACCGTAAGTCCAGTTTTATTACCAAAATGTGACGTGTCACCAATCCATTTCTTCTTTATTGATCTAGAGATGTATACTAGAGATGGGTCACAATGGTCGATCAAATACTGACTAGTTGATTAGTCAAAGCGACTAGTCTAAATTTTGTCCTAGGTTTTTTAGTGTTTGTTAACTTTAGTGGCAGTGCTTTAATTAGCATTCTGTTTTCATTAGCATTAGCCAGTTTACACCGCAATACATTCAGACCAAGAACAAAAACTATAAAGACAACTAAAACAATAACTATATTAGTGTCCACAGCAACACACGATACAATTTTGTTTATTATAAGCTTGAACTGCAGTTATGTCTTCTGCTGCTTTAAATGCTCATATGCTTTAAAGTTGGGTGGATTCTGATTGGCTGTCAACATTTTTATCATTCATCAGCTAGATTCCTATGATTTCGTTCTTCTGTGGCATTATCATTATAGTCGTGGTGTGGACTTCCCTATTCTCTTAGAATTAGAATGATTGTTAAAACTTTAATTATAGTTAATCGCCCTTGGTGAGAATGGGCCTTTAGAAGAACATCTTTTACAGCTGTCACTCCTCATAGCTTTTTGAGTGTTCAGTTACACACACAGCGTTTTGAGCGTCCAAGTTTTAGCGTGTCTCAAATCTCCTGCATTGTTTTATTCTATTGAGCTGCATATAGTCATTTTTGGACGCAAAAACATGTCTTATGTAAACAACCCCTAAGGTTCAACTGGGGTCTGGTGAACCTGAAACCAGTCTAATTATACAGGGGTTCCAGTTAAGACTGATTAGTCAACTAGTCATTTAGGCAACCCACAAATGAGTTGCTTTGGGAAATACGATTTGTCTGAGACAAACACTAAAAGCAGGCATTCTACTCATTATGAGATAACGTTACGCAATGCTTTAGCAAACACTATGCCAATGGATTACAAGAACAAATGAGAAAAATTGTTAAATAATCATTACCATAACAAGCAATTTTTGACATGAACAATTGAATTGATTTTCAGAACAGTTTATCTTTTAAAACATTATCAAAAACTTAAAGTCAACAGTTCTTTATAATTGCCGGATACATTCTCTCATCTCATGCTGAATTGTGGGATATTAGTAGAGCTCTGGAAGCACACTAAAAAAATGTGAGTGATAGCCAAAATGCATCTTCAAAAGCTTCCCTGCTTTATAACTTAAGTCGTTTGGATTATATTTACTTTTGAAAAACCAACATATTTTTGTATAAAAGCCACAATGCACAACAGTAGCCAGCCAAACGCTCAGAAACATGTTCGCCTATTTGACAAACGGGGATCTCTGCCAATTAATAACATCTGCAGCAATGAAAACAAGCAGCTAACCTGGCCCTCATTACCAAATAACCAAGGGCAGAGAGCTGGGGATGGAAAGCGATACTCTGCATAGACTGTGAGACGGGGAGGACGGCAGCCAAAGCCGGCAGTTCAGGGGAGTCGGTACTAGAGAGCAGCCTGGAGGCTTATCTTCAAGTCAAATCCCTTCACATACACACACACCACACACAAATACACATTCAATCCACATAGACTAGATATCAGACAAGCCACTGACATAAACTGGTCTGAACACTGTTCAGATGCTTACAGTCCCAGAAGAACCCTGGTGTGACTGTGTAGTTGTAAAGATGAACAGATAAACAGCAGTTTAAAAAACAGACACCATATATCCATTCAGTCATTACTGGGATCTCCAGCTTTCCCCAGTCAAGAAATAGCACTGCACTCTGAAGTTCTGGAATCTTTTCAGGAATATTACTTTAGAGGGCATGTCACTCTAAAGGGACATCAGAGCAGACAAGAAAGACGGATCATGAGATAGATGTACAAACCTGCTTCTCCAGAATGCGGGAGATTTCTCCCAGAGTTCTGTCCAGGCCAGACACTTTGTTACTGGCCCACTGGCCACTGTCCTGCCCCTGCTGCTGCTTTACTAGATCCTTCACCAGACGCTGAAGCCTGGAAGCAAAGAATTTTAAATTTGCATTATTTTCACAATAATTTACCACATTTCTGCTCCCTTATTCTTGCTACTGGATTGTGAAAACAAATGTTTAAATCATATGGTATTTATATAATTTTACCTGAATAAATAAATATATATATATATATATATATATATATATATATATATAACACATTAAAATTATTGTAATAATTAATAATTAAAATATACATTTATATAATTTTTTTATATCAAGACATTTGTATGTTATTGATATAAATTTATTGCATGTCACATATTTATGATATCAATTTAATACATAAAACATTACCTTTTTACACTATTTAAAATAAACAATTAGGAAAAAAGTGTTTTCCAATGTGCTGAACTTTCTTTATGCAAAATACTATTTCTTTTTTTCTCCCATTGATTTTGGTGTGAAATATGAAAAGTGTTATGTTAATAATATATTATAGTACTCAATATTTTTAATTACCTTTTTTTTTTTTACATTTTCAGTTTTAATTTAAATTTTAGTAACTTTGATACATGCTTTATTTGTTTTATTTCTATTTAGCTTTATTTTTTAATTCTTCAGCTTTCTTTCAATTAAATAAAAAAATATTTTTTATTAGTTTTATTTAATAACAACAACACTTAACCTGCAAATTTCATCTAATCATATGCGCTATATCTTACTCTTGGTTATCTATAACCATACTCTTTTCAGAAATTTTCAGCATACATATATATTATGCTCTTTTCAGGGACTGCTGGAATGCCACACAGGTGTACTGTAGATGATTTCACATTTTACGATCATTGTGCAAGAGCACAAATCCTGATCCACATAAAGCAAAACAGCAAGAATTATGGATTGCAATATGAGATCTGTGACAGCACCGCTTAGATATCAGTATTGCATTGCATTTAATGGGCAAAACAATAAAGGTTTGATTAAGGAAAGCCAAGCGCTGGCATAATTTCAGAAGCATGGATTTAAAAAGACATTATTAAAACAGGAGTACTCAATAGAAGACCTCAGCTCAGCTATATGATCCTTAAAAGTGGAGCGGGGGAGCTTACTTCGCCTTGTACGGAGAGTCGGGGGTCTGGGTCTTGGCTTCCATGCATGTCTCATACTCCTTAGCCCTGAAAAAGAAAGACAAACAAGTCTGTCAGAAAGATACGGAAAGAGAGAGAAAGACAGACAGAGAGCAACAGAGGAGTCCAATGGCTGTCAGCCTGAAGACATGAGGAGATAAGACGACGTGCTGAACAAAGGAAATGTCAAGAGGTCAAGCTGAGCCTCAAACTGTTTATTTGGTCTTTGGGCCACACTAGCAGCAATCACAAACTAACAAGCATGAACGAGTCACAAACATTTAGTCTTCAGAGGGGTACCCCAGTAGAGGATGTTGTTTCACAGCAGGGAATACCAAACTCTCCAATAACCACACAATTTAAGTCCAGAAATCAAAATAAATAGGAGTAATTCACACCCATCAGCCAATCACTCTTAAGTAACTCCTGAGTCACAGACCAAAATAATGCATGCTGTCAGTCAGCTCTAGCACATTGGTGTGGTCCAACAAGCAAAATTCCTGACAATCACACATCCCATTCTGTCAGATAAGGATGATCGATCAGCTCCTGAAAAAAAACACTTGATGGATGGATGTTCAGGGGCTGATAAACTCGGATGTCTCTTTCCGGAAGACAATGTCAGAGAGCTGAGTGGTCACAAGCCTTGTAATGGTTTAATCTTGGTTTGAGTTGAAATCCAAGGTGATTTTGGTTTAACCTAAATGGTATAGGTATACGTAGATTAAAAAACAAACAAACAAAAAAAAACACAAATGTAATTTTCAGTCAACATATTTTAAAAAACTTTTTGGTCTTAAGAAAGCTCTATATATTTAGACTGGTTAGAAAACTATAACCTGTTATTAAAATTCTAATTTCTCCTGGGAAAAAAAGAAAAGAAAAAAAAAAAAGAGTCTGATCTGTAATTTTCTTTTAGTTGAAGTGGTAAACTGAGTTAAATTGATTAATTATAATGAATGACTAAATAATATTAAATAAAATGAATGAAAATGAATGAACGAACGAATGACTGAATAATAGAATGAATAACTAAATAACAGAATGAATGAATGAATAGCATGGATGGATGGACAATAAATAGACTGACTAAATAAACAGAATGAATGAACAGAATGAATGACTAAATAAAAAACAGAATGAATGACTAAATGATAAACAGAATGAATGAATTAAATTAATAATAATAATAATAATAATAAAAAAAGAACATATGAATGAATGGTGGAAATTAAATTTTTTTGGGAAGATATTGGGTTGAGGTGGATACATTTCTAGTACTGATCTGTAGGAAGTGATAAATCACTCTATATATGTGTTCACTTGAATAGTGAGTAGTGAACAGGTGTCACAGAGGACAGGATACTTTGGAGATTCCACTGGGCTATGTGATGAGACCTTAACCCTAACCCCTGACTATTAAGATACTTAACTATAAATTGACTATAAACACAATTACAGCTAAACTCTGCCTTCTTTTGGGAGACAGTAGCATACGGTAAGAATTTTGAACAGTGATTCCCAAGTGCTGGCCGAGCCTCGAGCGGTGGTGCGCTCAGAGAAAGATTGTGAACCGTACCTGGCCTCATCCTCATCCTGCAGATTACAATATTATTCTTTGACAGCTTTACGCCTGCACAGGTTAAACAGAAGGGCAATCGCCAGACCATCAATCTCCGAACACGGCAGGCCCCATTAAATGGGCCGGGCACCATAAATATTAGTAACCAGCTATAAGTGGGGGGGCAGCTACAAAGCTACAATGCAGAGCTAATCATCAATTCATCACGATGTGCCCCACTATTCACCTCCGCCCACGCTGGACGCAGACGGCCCCCTCCCCCAATCGACTGTAAAACCGTCAATGCCTTCCGACGGATAAAAAAAAGAAAGAAAACAAATACAGTGTATCAATTTTAAATGTGCTATGGGAGGCTCAGGCATTCGGCACTCCCAATTACAGAGAACATTTGGTCGGGCAGCGGTGCAATATTTAATATTGGATTTGAGAGGCTCTCAATCAAATGGAAGACAATTTGACTGATGATGAATAAAAGGACGAGGAAAAGGGAGGGAAAATGTGACCCGTGCAACATATCCACCAAGAGGAATGAGGCGGGTTCCATCTATAAATTCAACAAACGTATATAAGGGGTTATATGTGGAATAAATATTGGATACATCCTGAGATTAAAAAGATTTACATGCACTTGATAGTAAATAAAGGTCTGCGGTAAGCAGGGTCCAAGTGTCTTAAAGTTGAAACTATCGGAGCTGCAGTCTAGCCATTGCCGCTCATGCTCAGACACATTGGTCCTGTTCCAAATGGAACACTTGATGTGGACTTGTCATTTAATAGCCTTTACTTGAAAGTATCCCTGAAGTCCACAAGACTGTACAGTGTCCCATGTGTTTTATGATTCAGAAGGGTGCCCGCAAACATCCTTATTGTGACTGCTAAGTGTCCTTGATGTTGCCTTTGGCAGAGATCACACTCAATGCTGCATAAACTATTGAGTAGTCACCTGCTATTATGGCACCAACATTCAGACTCAAAAGAGGACGGCAAGAATGCTGCACTTGGTGACCTTGCATACTTGTGGCAGTGTGCATAGCACAAGAGCACAGGGTGTCCCCACTGGGAAAGTTTCTTGGTGAAAACCCATTGAGAAGATTTCTTGGAGCCCTTTGTTGGCAACTATACACCCTTGATGCACAGAGCCTGCAATTTACAGCAGACAACTACACAACAGCCCAAGAATCACCACGGCACCAACTTGACGACTCAAGAGGAACTTGCATATTTGTGGTCTTCACTGTACTGACTGTATTAGAGTGTCCCACTTGTCTGTTTATCGTGTAGAAGTGTACTCACAAGAGTGTCCTTTGTGGCGATATGCACCTTTTGCCCAAATCTGCACTAGAGGAGGACGGAAGGGGTCAAAAGGTCACACTTGACATGAACTTGAAGAATTGTGGTCTTCACCACAACTGACCGTTCCATGGGGTATCCCATTTGTCATGTTCCCTCTGTGAATTCACAATAGACAACTTTTCGGCAGTCTGTGTGGCATTATGTTACCAAAGGAGGAAGGACCGCAAGGGTTGAGGACTGTACTTCCGGGACAGAGCCACTGGTACTCCTTTGGCAAAAATAAACAAAAAACAGGACTAAGGCCCCAAAAACTTGGCCTAACCTGTGCTCAGGTTTACTGAAGCCCTCACTGCAAGATCATCCCGTGTTTCCTCGTAGCTCCTCCACTCCCTCCTTCTCTTCCCTACCTACCTCACTGACTCTCCTCTAGGGAACTTTTTTCTGTATATGCGAGTAAAGCGATGGCCTCTGGGAGTGCAAAACAGGGGGTCTTTTGTGTGTCGCCCCTCTGAGGTAGACCAACACACAGAGTGCACTGTTCTCAATCCTGGGCAAAAGACAAGCGATGCAACCAGCCAAACATCATACACGAGAGAAGGGGCTATCTGAGAGAGAAGGAAAGAGTTAAGAGCGAGAGACTCTGAAAGTTTAAAGCCTACATCCAATGCGGACACGGGCGGACATGCTACTTTCATGGTAATTAAAACCACACGTTTGCACATGAAGAACAAGCCATATATTTGAAGAGTAAATCAGGGTCCAGCTAAGGAAATTAAACAGTCTTTTCCATGCCACGGCTGTGACGGGGACTGAGCGGGCTTAACAATGACACTGGGGGACAGGGCAACCTGGGAGGGCTGAGAAAAGCTCTCTAGCGTTTTACAAACGCCACACTGTGCTCCTATAAAACGGCTCATTTCCACCCTGTGGTGGAGTCGCCAACCTCAGCAACACAGAGCTGTGGGCGGCCGTGATTTATGAGCGTGTAGCGCCTGTTCTCTCCCTTTATTCTTTCCTCCTCACCGTGTGAGTGTTGCAGGGCTCAGCACAGTAGTGACAGAGAACAGAGGAGGCTCATATTGTCACTCTTCCAGCCAAAGCTCAGAGCTGTTTTCTGCCCTCGGAGCTACCTCTGTATTAATGAGCTCAGAAGCAGGGCAGACTGCCGGTCTCCACTCCACTGCACTGCATAGAGAAAGAGCGAGACAGAGCGCCTACAAATTACAACTACTGTAAAGCTACCACTAGGGATGTAGCAACCATTACAACTTACAAAAATCAAATCTTGATAATTGTATCACATTTTGTCGAAATTTCAGTATAACTTACAAAAGCCGAAATGTTATTACAAATTTATGAAAGCAGAAACTTCATTACAAGTGAAACGGAAATTGTTTAATATTGTAGGTTAATGAAATTTCAGGATTCATAAGTTATACAATTTTTACTTTGTAGTCAATGTTGAAATGATGACAATTTACAAATATTGTAATGCACCAAGCAACAATTACTACAACTTACAAATGCAGAAACATACCAAACATACCAAAACTAAACAACACTAAAACTCTTGTGACTCTACATAGGACAAGCGGTTTGAAGAATGGATGAATCATTATGAATATAACTTATGAACAACTTCATCAAAAATTGAAATTTCAACTATCAAAAACAGAAATTACATAAAAATGTTGTACCTTGATGAAGTTGAATACAGTAATTATGTAAGGAATAATTGACGATGGGCCATTGAATTATTAGAAAATAATGCACACCTGAGGTAGTGATGCCGTTACACCTCGGGTGTGCATGATTTTCTAATAAATCAACGCACCTGAGTCAATTATTCCACTTATACTATGGTTACCACACCTCAAATATTATACAGATGATGTATTTCAAAACATTCGTCAGGTAATTGTCCTTAAAACACTCTTGTGTGTAGGATTAATTTCTTATGCGTCTCATCCCACGCTGCCGTTGCTACTTCCAAAACGTCATTTTAGACCTAGTAACGGAGGTTTGAGCCGTTGATAGCAGACTAATGCTGTTAATAATGAAGTTGTCCACCATTTGTTTACTCCAGAGTCACATTTGATGAGATTTTGTGTGTTCACAGACGGGATTCTGGCTATTTGGGAATGAAATCGGTTAGTGTGTGGTGTGCCGTCTTGGTCACATCACAGCACTTCACACACTATAGGAACAAAACCATTAAATCAATGAGTTTTTATCATTATGTTTGTGGTCTCTCACATCTTGAAAATCTAATAAGGTTTATAAAAAACTTTTAGTGTGGGCCAGTCTTTAGAGGGTCAAAATTTCAGAAATTCTATGTACAAACTTGTAAATATTTATGATTATCCTCCATATTTGGAAAATAATCAACACCCATGAGTTACTGTGCTGCAATTAAACAAACACCTTGCAGTCACCAAGAAGTCATTAAGAAGTCACTACATTCGGACTGAATATAAGCAGTTGGTGGTAAACTTGCATGGATGTATAAAGTTTTGTCAGAAATTCCCAGGGTCTTTACAATTGTACACTGAACAAACTCCAACCACCTCTGGAGCTGTTCATTCCAATCTTAGCATTACTGACAAACAACTAGGGATGTTCATTTGAACCGTTTAACCAACCGTAAGAATTCTGACTGATCAATACAATCAATTAAACGGTTTAAAAAGTCATTTAATTATTAATTTTTTCAGTCATTTATTAAAATATTTAAAAAGGTTTGCTGCACGGTTAAAATACGCTACACGCATAAAAAAAATGTGTTTTTAGGGGGGGAAAAAAACATAAGTCACGCGCGTATGCGTCACATTTTTTTAATTCATTCAGAAATAGGCCTAATGCCCACGTGAAATGTTTACAAACATTATAATAAACACTGTAAACATAGCTAGGCTATTTTAGTTCCCCTCACTCCACAACAAATCCTTTCAACATTTTTTCAGTCATTTATTAAAATATTTAAAAAGGTTTGCTGCACGGTTAAAATACGCTACACGCATAAAAAAAATGTGTTTTTAGGGGGGGAAAAAAAACATAAGTCACGCGCGTATGCGTCACATTTTTTTAATTCATTCAGAAATAGGCCTAATGCCCACGTGAAATGTTTACAAACATTATAATAAACACTGTAAACATAGCTAGGCTATTTTAGTAATTTTTTCAGTCATTTATTAAAATATTTAAAAAGGTTTGCTGCACGGTTAAAATACGCTACACGCATAAAAAAAATGTGTTTTTAGGGGGGGAAAAAAACATAAGTCACGCGCGTATGCGTCACATTTTTTTAATTCATTCAGAAATAGGCCTAATGCCCACGTGAAATGTTTACAAACATTATAATAAACACTGTAAACATAGCTAGGCTATTTTAGTTCCCCTCACTCCACAACAAATCCTTTCAATTAACAGTATTTAGAAAAGAACAAGAATTACAAATATAAGAAGCTATAGCAATATAAACGACAAGCCAAAACGAATTCATTTAGGCTAAAACCAAACTGAAACCAACGTTGGGTCTCTCATTCCACACAAAATCAAATGTTTCTGTATTTTTTTTTACTACATTTTTGTTTCCATATGTTTGACTGACTGTATTTTATTATGATAATGAACAGGCTGCATTGTCAAGGTAGCAATGCTTAACTGTGCGCGCGCATGTGGCGCCGGCGCAATCACTTGAATTTTTTCCTTCTAACAGTGGAAGAAACTACTCCTTTTAGTCATAAAGATAATTGGAATTGTAAAAGGTTTGCCTTTATTTGTGTACATTCCCAATAAAAATAAATGTTTGTGCTTTTGTAAAATAAGCCTAAAGAAAAATAGGATGCCACTGTCTGCCGTCTGGCTTCCTTTCACGTAGCACAAAAATGAACCAAAACTCTGCATGCTAGGCTACTTGTTGCACAGTTTCTTTCATTTTCTTAATTTATTATTTAAGTAAAAATATGTTTCTCGTATAGGCCTATTTATTCGTTATAAATATATAAATATATATATACACATACTGTGTGTGCGCGTATGTATGCATGTATGAGATATATATATATAAAAAACCTTATATAGCCTTGCTTTGTTATGTTTTTCTCCGCTCGCAGAAGCGCTGCAGGTGCGTGATGTGATATGATAACCATGTGAATCCTCATGTTCTGTTGTTAACTGCTTTTTGCGCATGTAAAATTAATCCCCGGGAAGCAAATGTTACTATTTTTAACGGGTCACAGACACTTATCCTATCTAATTTAATTCAATTCTAATTTAAAATAATCTTGTCGGTTAGGAAAAATAATTAGCGTCGGTTAGGAAAAATAACCGAAATAACATCCCTACAAACAACCATACCCCACACACACACACACACACACACACACACACACACACAATAACAGTTGTGACAGGAGGCAAAATTGATAGTGTCCAGGTCTAGGATCTGACACTGAGACGCGTTCACTCCTATTTGTTGATTACTATTGATTTTCTTTGATACTTCATTTAAAAATCAATAGTTGGAAGACAGAAAAACAGGCATGCTTTACACATACTTTAACATACTATTGTACACTAGAGAAGCCTTCAGTTTTGGCAGCGTGGTGGCAACCAATTAGGAGAAAAGCTCTTAACAGGTGAAAGTGGGGGGGGTGGTGGTGGGGAGGGGCTAACAGATCGATTCTCACTTTTTCCTCCCCAATCACAGAGAGTGGCCATAAATTAAGCTCATCAGTGTTGCCGTGCAGACAGCCGGGATGCACATCGCCTCTGCTCTCCATCTCCTTGTCACTCATAAAGCTCTCAAAAGCAGCAACACCACGCTTTAGCCACACGGAGGGAGAGAGCGAGACAGAGATAGAAGAAAGAGAGACGAGACCGTGATCACATCACCTTGAGTTCATGCGTGCCCGCAGCTTCTTGGCCTTTTTCCGAGCTTTCTGCCGCTCTTCTCCCTCTTTTGCACTTTCGGAGGGCATGCTGCTGTCAGTCACAATGTCTACGATGTACTTTTTTTGAGACAGGTGTTCCTGTCAAAAACAACAAACAACAAAAACAAAAGAAAATTCAATTATATAAATGTTGCTTTTATACTAGAGCAGATTTATTTGAGTACTGTGAAAGGTGTTTTCCAAATATTACTGAGGGTAATATGTAACAAGTAACAAGCATTACAAAGTTTACATTGTTGATGTAACAAGTAACATGTTACTTGCAATTTCAGTTAATACCATAATAATTAATATACTTTTTTAAATAAGCTGATGATGACTGTTGTTGTATTTAAATGTATTGCCCTATCAGCTTCACCAGCTATTACATTGCAGATACAGAGTGAACATTCAACAATATAATAAATACAATATAATAAAAAGGGTAAATAAAATTCAACTTAGAAAAAAAGTACATACAAATTCTTTAAATTCACTTATGACAAAAGATTGTAAATGTTTTTTCTGGGTCCATCTTACAAAATAAGTCCTTAAAAGTTTTCCTAAACATAAAAATCGTTGATAAAAATCACCTCAATACATTAAAAACTGGGCAGACCAAAGACATGTTTTATAGACGTGCATCTTTTTATTAAAAATTTGGTGCTGCAATTAACATTTTGGTGCTAAACTGATGATGACAAAGAGTAAAGTAAACTGAACTAATGCATTACTTTGCCTTCAGAATAAACAATGCATAATTTTTTAAGAGTAATGCAATAATGTTACATTATTTATAAAAGTTAATAATCCCCAGCACAGCTTCTGAATTTGTGTGTTTTTTTGTATTATTTATATAGTATATTAATATTTTTAAATTTAGTATCACTTTTATATTCAGTTTCTATTTTAATATTAATTTATGCTTTAGTAAATTTGCTATATACTTTTGTCATTTTTAACAAATTTTTGTAGCTTTAATAATTTTTATTTAAGCTTAGTTTTAGTAATTTTAGAACCTTAAATTTTCATTTATTTTAGTTAGTTGCCAAAGCAACATTTCTAATTTTCATTCGTCATCTAAAAATATATATTTAGTTCAGCTTTCATTTACAGGAAATAATTTTTAATAGTTTTACAGTCAGTAACAACACTGCACCAACAACTTGAGGGCAGAGAGAGGGCATATAAATCAAATTAGAGTTTGAACTCAAGCAAACATACCATGTGTGAAAGGCATTTAGGAATTCAAAATCGCAAGAACGACATTAGTATAAAAGACAAGTATTAAACTAATGAAATTAGAATGAGATGGCTTAATTTAGGTTAAGTTGTAGGTGGTACAAGAGTGAAACCTTCCTTTAACCAGCCCATATTTTGCCAAAAATGCACATTCGATTTTCTAAAGCTCCACAGAGAGACCTCTCAGTTCAAAGCCAGCGCATCCAGAAAAATCCCTTCAGGACAATAGAACGATGACACATGGGTGTGTCAGAACAGAGCGACAAGAGAGGAGAACAAACATTAAACCGCCAATTCCACCCAGCACATGTCCAAAGGCTGGGCTTCAACTCCCACACTAGGATGTAAAGTGGAGCGCCTTCATTGAAAGACCAGGTGTTAAGCTCTTTGTGTGGCTTGTAGAGTCCTCCTGGCCTAGGCATTGTGCTCCGCAATTATGAAGGCATCTCCTCCACTCGCTGCTGGCATTAAGGCAACGGAAGTGCTGAGGGGGGGAGAGAGGTATAGCTTTCCGTCTCTTTCTGATGATGCCGATATTTCCATGGGAAGAAAGACGGATGTAACTCAATTTCAGACGACGTGATGCATGTGCCAGAAAGCAATTATCCAATTATCCTGTCATCCGGCACCTTGGAGGATGGGAGCAGCGGGTGAGATAGAGTCGATACCTCAGAGGCTGTATGGTAACAGAGGATGGGGGCCAAAAAACAACTTCTTTAAACCTTTTAAAATTCCATGTAAATACCTAGACCAACTGTTTTTTGCAATGTCGGACTAAAGCTGCATTCACATTAATGAGGTTTTGGTAAAATTTCACACACACAAAAAAAAATCTACTCTTGTCAATTGTTTAGCGATGCATCAAGCACAGAAGTAACTTGCAAACCAAGCAGCTTCCCGTTGGCCAAAGCAGCAAATTCTGCAAATCTGCATGGGAAAATCTTTCAAACTCGCATGGAATTCCTATTCATGTAAATTACTGTAAATGTGGTTACTGTAAATATCAGATTATTACTGGCCTCTGCGTTGTACGATTGCTTTAAAAGACATGAAATGTGTACTTAATGCTTCAAAAACCTGCAGTAGCTTGATTATAATGGTGCATGCAAACATACACTGAAAAGTCATCCAAAATTTAAATTTTGTCATCATTTACTTATCCTCATATCATTCCTGTACGACTTTGTCTTCTGTGAAACACAATGGAGAATATTTTGAAAAATGTCTCATCCAGTGTCCCAATTCACCTACTTTTACTACTAGGATGCATTCTTTTTGTGAAGAAAAAGTACATACTTTTAAATGTGCAGCAAAATAGTAGGCCAGCATCATCTTGTCATAGTTAACATCCTTCAAATTTCGTTTCATTTCATACCGTATTGGAGAGAAATAAACTGGCATTTTGATGTACCAGTCACGTGTCTCTCGAGTCTGGAACTCTCCTCATGTGTTCGCATAACGATGCGACAGTTAATGACCAAACGTATCCTTATAAAAGGTCACAATGTTGTTGCAGATGAAATATAATGCGGATAACATCAAGCACATATTTTTTCATCAGATTATATACTGATTATTAATCACTCAAAACAAAACACCTAAACCTCTCCGCCATGTTTGTAGTTCTTAAACTGTTTTTATTTGTGTTTGTAGCTCTAATCGAATCCTCATCCAATGCACATTATTGTGGGCAATATGTTGCAAGAGTGTGCATGTATCTGCACTTTTTACACATTTTCACTGTAAACCATCTGGGTACCTTTGAGACACTCATTTCACCATACTATGATTTGGGACACACTAATTCTAATTTCGAAGACTATTTAGGAAAGACAGTATGCGAATTGGGACGCAGTATTAGTGTTTTTTTTCTTCTTGTCCATACAATGACAGTCAATGGGGTCCAACACTGATTGAGAAGAAAGAAGAAAGTCAGAGAGTCATACAGGTTTTCGATGACATGAGGGTGAGTAAATGATCCCAGAATGTTAATTTTTTTGGGTGAACTATCTCTTTAAGAGAAAAGGCTATGGGATTTTTCATCCGTTTTATCATCTATAGCCGCTTTTCCACCGAAATTACCTGGAACAATATGTCCCAGGAACTTTTTTTCCCCCAGACCTGTTGCTGTCTGCGTTTCCATCACGGTCTAAAGTACCGAGAAGAATAGGCAAATAGTCTGGTTAAGTAGGTCTTCGCACGTTTCACAAATTTTGGACTTGCATCCACGGTAGTTCGGACACCGCTGCCTATTTTCGGTTTCATTAAAACAGAAATGTAGTTCATGGAACGTACCTACATTACAATGAAACGAAATATTATATCAAACATTGCCTATTTTCATTTTAACATTAATATATTAATAGAGTAATAGAATAAAGACCACAGATTACCTGTTAGATTTACCCAAAACCAATTACATCTTATGTTTAACCACTACAGAGACATCAGAGCCAGCGGCAAATGTCAGAAGGACTAGCAGAGTTAAGGCTACTCTCATCGGGAAACATGAGCACTGAGCGCCCGTTGATCGCGTGGAGCTCACATCTCTGAAATCAGCGAAGCACATTTTCAAATAAGCGCGGTCTTTATAAATAAAATACAGATTTGAGTTTTAAACTACTACATTCTCGCCTGAAATACTTTTAAAACTACATTTCATGACACAATAACAGTAATATTTTAACAAAATTATGTGAATGGTGGTTGAAATACAATGCTGTGTGAACTCAACCAATCAGCATGTTCAGCGCCCAAGTCCCGCCTCCGAAAGTTCCGGACCTTTGAAAAAGTACTACCTTGCGAGCAGGGACTTTCTGAGGGGCACATTTTTACCCGGAACTTTATTTAGATCCTGGTTCCTGCGGTGGAAACACACCGAGTACCGGCCCAAAGTCCCTAGTTCCTGGGGAAAGTATATGTTAGTTATGTACTCAATATTTAGGGATTTGTTTGGAGAGTACAGCATATCTGAATAAACATCGTCTCTCGGTTTCTTCCAACGGCGCTTCACGAGGTTGAACAATAACGAAGCGAACAATAACAACGTTTTAACGACCACAGCTTTGAATGCTTGACACCTGTCCTTAATGAATTACTTTGAGACAAATGTGACAAATTGCCTCATGGACCTCCGTTTGAAATCTGTACATTTGCATCATATAGTGTTTCAAGTGGACGAGTTATTGTGTGTGTGCTTGATGGGGCTTCCAACCCGAGTCCCTGGGGAACAGGAGTCGACCCTGCAGTCATAACCATTGCTTCCCTGTGGCCAGAGAGGCATCTGTTGAGTAATCTCTCTGAAAGGCGATCCAGTTCATCTGCCATTCACTTAATGGGATTGTTTCTGTAACACCTCAAAGACGTGCACCATCTTGAGATTATAAAGAGGGGTTTGGAGGAGAGGGGAGCACCACAAAAACAGATCTGTGAGGAGATCAGGACTGGAGCTAAGCTTGTAATGTGCGAGTGAACCAAAGAATGGGAAACCATTATGGCTACAGTCAATCGCTTCGACAGTTTGAGACTCAAACAGAATTTTGTTTAAGTAAATTATATATTTTAAGAGAAAATCATATCATAACGCCACTGCTCTGGATCTATGCTGACAAAACAAAACTTACCTGAACTAAATTTTAATGTACACTTTTTTTAACAGGGTTTCATGAAAGTTATTTTAAGACTTTTTAAGACCAAGTAAAGAAAATTTAAGGAATAAATTGAAGGTAACAGTACGCCAATATGGTTGCAACCTATAATAGATCTCTTTATTAATTCTGAATTCATTTTACAAAAATGCTTAAGGCTTGAACAGCTCTGCTCACAAACACTAAAATATGGAAATAACTTTAACTGTA